GGCCTCTGGCTGTGAGGCAGCCTCTGACACATCTGGGGCCCACGGCAAGTCACATAGAGTGCAAGTAAGTGCTTTGGTACCATACACCTGCAAAGAGTCCTCACTATGGAAAATGAGAATGTAGTATTTTTTATCAGGGAGCTATAAATATCCTTGCTTAAACACTTACTTTTAGCAATCCACTCTCATCTGCTTGGTTCTGGGCACTTTTGACATACAGATGAAGAAAGTGCTATCCTTGCCTTTAGGAAGCTCATTCCTGTGACAGCTTTCTAACATCTAGATTTAGTAAGTTCTGAGATCGAATAAGTGTTTTTAGTTTCTAAATTCTGGACTCCATTTATAGAGAATGCACAACAACCTTGTAAAATGAAACCTGCCATTTAGACCAAATTAGGTTGTGCTTTTCAAAATCACATATATTTTCCATTAAAAGTTGTAAAAGCTTCACAAACTTTTAGCTGACACAAAGTCTTGTGGTTTATCATTTATCATCTTACTACTTATGTGAAGAGTGAAAATCTAGTACATAAGAATGCACGCAACTTGTAAAACAAGTACCAACAGATTGATAAGCAAAGCACTGAATATCACAAGCAAAAAGGAAAAAGTGGAGAAATAAAGAAAAGAAATGGGGAAGGAGAAATATAAATGAATTTTTTAGCTGTGACAAATCTCTTTGGTAATCAAGAAAGTTGATGCAGACGGCCAAGGGGAGGTATGGGTTTTCTTCTGCCTTTGTAGCTTTCATATCTGCCTCGGAAGAAGCACGGTCTGTCTGCCTTGAGAGAGAAGGTGCAGTCTTAGCTCTTTGTATGATGAGTAAAGATGCCGATGGATACGAAAAGACAGGAGAGTGGCTCTTGGGGAGTGGCAGAGAAAATGTCATAATTACCTGAGACTATGCTAGGTTTTACTCAGTTACTTCCCACTAATACGAACTTCCATAGAGTTTAACACAACTCGTGACAAAAGCACTTTGTGAATGTACGCTTAAGTTCACCGTGTCTTTATTTGAGGTATCTAAGCCTCATTTTAAAAAATATTAAGATAGGTACTTTGATGACCACTGTGAGAGAAGCTTAAAGACTTACAGACCCAGAAGATATCCAAAAAGGTTGTAATTTCACTTCAGGGAGTAGAATATCTTAATAAAACTAACGTAAATATTGATATAAACGTTAAATGTAATAATTGGAAAAGATATATCACCATCTTGCATTTATGAATGATTACATCATTCACTTTAGATAAACAGCCAAAAGGAGTCTTTGAAATTCTACCTACTTCACTCTATCTTCTCTAGGGACACAGAGTAACTTTGTCAGCAGTTCAATTTGTAATATATAATCTTCTAAGAAGTAAATAATCTTCATTTCACTTTCTGAATATAATTATAGTGTTTACATACATGTGACCTTAACAAATGCAATTTACATCCACTGACCTTCAAGAAGGTAAGTCTACTAATGTATAATTCATCATGACATTTTTCAGGAAATTGTAGTAAATTTTTCAACCTCAAATACGTTATGCTACAAAGACACTCCCTTCATTTTACTCTGCCTTAAAAAATTTTACATTTTGTTGTTTTTTGTCAAAGAAGGTTGCATTAAATATTATATATTACGGTGCTAGCAAATGAGATTTCAAGTACATCCATAATTTTATTCAACAAATTATTCTACAACACATGGAAAACTTGGATGGTATGTCATAGTTGTGACATCCTGTCTCTTTATACATGTTACAATAACACTAGTTATGAGTCGAGTATATTACAATGAACTGCACTGCTTTGCAAGCTTTAGCTCATTGAAACCTCACAACAACAGGATACAGTGACCATTTTTAACTTTCCCATTTTATAAGTGAGGAAACTGAGGCTGGCAGAGGTAAGTAACTTGATAATTTTTATACAACTAATAAATATTGGTACTGGGGTTTGAAATCAAGTCTATTGGACTGTAAAGCCTTTCTCCACTGTGCTTTAGCAGGCCCCTGCTGTTTAGTGGGAGAA